GCTCTTTCCCATCCTCCTCTTCGGAGTTTTCTTATTACTGTTGAGGGTACCCCCGTTCTCCTCCCTGTTACCACAATCTGCAACTCTGATGTCACTCTTGACTCCTCACTCTCATACCTCATAGCCAATTTGTTGCCTAATCTTTTTTCTACATTCCTCCTTCACAAAATCCCTCTTCGGTGTCTGCAACTCCCCATTCCTAAAGCCTAGTTCTAGCCCCATCACCTCTTACCTGGACTACTGCATTACACCCTTTTAAATGGTCTCCCCAGTGCATAACTTGCCATACTCCAACTCATCCTCCATTCAGCTGTGAAGGTAATTTTTTCAAAGGCATACATCTTACCAGGTCACTATTGTCATCCAGGTTAATTCTAGACTCAATGAGCTCCAGGGGTTCCAAATGTAAACTTTTCTGTTTGTTACTTAAAGTTCTCTGAAACCTAGCCCATTCCTATCTTTCCAGTCTTCTTAGACTCTCCTCCCTTCCACCCACTCAATGGTCCAGCCAAAATGACTAATTTGCTTTCAGAATGAAAAGTGACACTCTCTCCCACCCCCAGCCTTTGCACTATCTGTCCCTCATGCCTGGCATGCTCTGCCCTCTCTATTCTGCCTTTTAGTGTCTTTGACTTTCTTCAAGATTTGGATCAAATCCCCCTTTCTGCAGAAGCCCTTTCCTGGTCTTCCTCACTGCTGGTGCCTATCCCTGGGGGATTATCTTTCTTCTGTATATATTCTGCATGTTCCTAGTTACTTACATGTTATCTCCCCAATTAGAATTTGTTTTCCTTAAGAGCAGGGGCTGGGATTTTTTGTTTTATTTTTGGCCATTGCTATAACTTTGGTGTTTACTCAGAGCCTGGTTTAATTGCTTGGACACCTACAGATCCATTGCTGTCCATTTTGTCATGCAAAAAGCGTGTATTAAGACTCATGTTGCATAAGTATTAATTGTTCTAAATGTGTTGCTCCCATTAAGCTTTGGCTTTAGGGTCTCAGTCAGTCAGTCCCTTACACTCAGCCTGGGGTTTCTTTGTGATAGGCTTATGATCAATGTGTCTTGAATGGAGAAGACCAAAGTTTCTGTATGTATCCCTTTCATCTATTGGTTCAAATTGACCTTCAGAGCCTTCAATTTCTATATTTTCTTGGCCCGCGTTTATAACAATAATAAGGAATCCGAATGATATTGTGATATCAAAATGTAAGCATCAGAGACCAGATTTGAACTTGAGACCTGACTCCAAGTCCAATATTCTCTCCTCTGTGCCACCTGGTTGCCTCACCTCTATGCGGGTAATACTACATTTATAAATCTAACTCCCATCTTTCTCCCGAGAGAAAAAACTTCCATCAGATGAAATTGCTCTTTCAATATGTTTTTCAAGGGAACCCTGTAACTTGATGTCATTCATATACATTACATGATGAACACAGTGCTTTGGCACGAATCCCTCTCAGACTTGAAAGCCGTACTCAGTTCTATTCAAGATAGATAACAAAGGATTTTGTGACAGGCAGAATCATGGCAAACCTAATTGCTCTTCACCTCAATATGCTGGTGGCATATTTTAAATAGAAAAGACAGTCTAGTCCACGTGGGTGTCAAATACTCTCATGTTCTCACTATACTGGGATCCATTGTACACATCTGCAGTATGTGACTGAGGAATGAGTGAGGAACCGAGTCAAAGGTTCGATGATAATGCGTTATAGCACTTTGGGGTGGCTTGGTCAATAATCACTGAATGATAATAATTTGCTTTTTATACACCAAGGACTTTGGGCTACACTCTTTTTGTTCCCCAGCTAACAGAATTTTGTTGTGTGTTTGCAGTTTCTCTTTTGAACAATACAAGTTAAGAATGCTTTGTAGTTAAATACACAAACACATAATTGGAGCAAGACAAGCATGCACTTGGAGGGGTCCCTGGTGTCCTAATCTTTCGGTAATAAAGATATGATGCCTTCTGTTCAGAATGATAAGGTCAGGCTTGCATCAGAAGACAGGCTGCCAAAGTGTTTTGCTACTAATTCAATCACTTCTGTGAGGAGCCTGAACCAGTAATTACAGATTTTCTCCATATTTGCTGCTTTCCAAGTTTTCAGAGAAGAGTTTCAGTTCTCCCTACCATCTCCCCACGTCATTCATTATGTCAATGGGGCACAGGGCTTGCTGTTTTGCGTCTGACCCAATTTGTTCTTTGTTGTACTTATTTTAAATCACTATCATCTTGTTCTTATCGTTTTCAAGAGAGGATTCTGGGACAAGCAGCTTTCCTCTCTTTTCTTTAATATTTAATATTAGACTATTGTACAGGTGGATAAAATAATGTTTTGCAATATAATAAATGCATTAAGATGTAAACACATTTAATTTGGAACTATGCCCAAAGGACCATAAAACTATGCATACCCTTTGACCTAGAAATACCACTACTAGGTCTGTATCCAAAAAGAGATAAAAAACAAAAAGGAAAAGGACCTACGTGCCCAAAAATATTTATAGCAGTCTTTGCTGGGGGCAAAGAATTGGAAATTGAGGGGATGTCCATCAATTGGGGAATGGCTGAACAAACTGTGCTATGTGATCGTGATGGAATATTATTGTGCTATAAGAAATGACGAGCAGGATGCTCTCAGAAAAACTTGGAAAGACTTACAGAAGCTGCCGAAAAGTGACATGCACTGTGTACAAAGCAACAGCAATATTGTTAGATGATCATCTGTGAATGGCTTGGCTATTCTCAGCAACACAATGATCCAAAACAACTCTGAAGGACTTGTGATGAAAAATTCGATCTATCCCCAGAAAAAAGAACTGATTGAAGCATACTTCTTTTACTTTATTTTTTCTTGAGTTTTTTGTCTGTTTTCTTTCACAACATGACTAACATGGAGATACGTTTTCCATGACTACACATATATAATATATATTGAAAGCTTAACTTCTCAATGAGGAGGTGGAGAGGGAGGAGGGGAGAGAATTTGGAACTCAAAGTTTTAAAAATGAATGTTGAGATTGTTTTACATGACTATGTCCAAAGGGCTATAAAAGTGTGCATACCCTTTGACCTAGTAATAGCACTTTGAGGGCTATATCCCAAAGAGAACATACAAAGGACCTTCATGGACAAAAATATTCATAGCAGCTCTTTTTGTGGTGGCAAAGAATTGGAAATTGAGAGGATGCCCATCAATTGGGGAATGGCTGAGCAAGTTGTGGTATATGAATGTGATGGAATACTATTGTGCTATGAGAAATGATGAGCAGGCAGACTTCAGAAAAACCTGGAAAGACTGGTATGGTCTGATGCTGAGTGAAGTGAGCAGAACCAGGAGAACACTGTGCACAGTAACAGCCACATTGTGCAATGGCTAACTTTGACAGATTTAGCCCTTCTCAGCAACACAAGATCTGAGACATCTCCAAAAGTTCTCGTGATGGAAAATGCTATCCACATCCAAAGAAAGAACTATGGAATTTGAATACAGATTGAAGCATGCTATATGCTATTTTTCTCTTCTGTTTTGTTTTCTCTTTCTTGTGGTTCTTCCTATTGATTCTAATTTTTCCTTACAACATGACTAATGTGAAAATTAAAAAAAACTGTTTTACATGTAATTGGGGAAAAATAAAATACTAAAAAAATATGTAAGCTCATCCTCTGCAGGCTCCTGAAAAGCATCCTTGGTGCAAAGAGAGGAGCAGACAGGGTCACGGGAATGTCTACATACTGTGCCTTGTTCTCGAAACCTGTAGAGAGGTTTTGATCTCCTTTCCTTGGCCTTGTCTGGCTGACTACCTTCTAATGCCTTTCAATCCACATAGGTAGGAGATTGTGAGCATTTGGGATGGTGACCTCTATTTAAGACATTCTCAGATTTTCATGAATTAATGCTGCATCTGTGGTTTTTCTGTTCTGTCCAGTCTGTGATAATCAAGCTGGTTGACAATTCTAGGATATTGTGATGTCTGTATTTGAGAGATTACATTATCTGTCAGCCCATGAAAGTTACATGACCAAGTCATGACTTGCTGGTATTTAGTAGCTTCTATATTTTTATAGCAGTTAGGTGGCATGTGCGACCCTAGGCAAGTCACTTGACCCTGTTTGCCTCAGTTTCATCTGTAAAATGAGTTGGAGAAGGAAATGGCAAACCAATCCAGTATCTCTACCAAGAAAAGCCTGAATGGGGTCACAAAAAATCAGACATGACTGAAAAACAACTGAATAACAAAGAATTTTTATAATCAATCAACAAGCATTTATCAAATATCTACTATGTGCCAGACACTGTGCTGAGCACTAGGGATACAGGAGTGAATTACACTCCAATGGGGGGAGCCTGCAGTTGGGTGTTGCATAGTTGCTACAATTTCCTCACATCATTTGCATTGATTATTAAGTCAAAGGTCCTTCAGGATAACCATCCTGTAATTTCTAGTGACAATAACTTGGTCCTGAACTCCTATCATAAGCTCCTCCAGTTCCACAAAGAAATCCACACAACTCAGTCATTTGTCCCATTCTTTTTTGATGCTTCTTTTGTTCCTATGATCTGATATTTCCAGGTTTAATATTTTACATACAATATCTCATTTGAGCCTAATAATAACCCTATGATATAGGGTCAATGCTATGATTATCTCCATTTTATAGATGAGGAAATAGAGGCTTAAGAAGGGAAAGTGATTTGTTCAGGGTCAAACCACTTCTAAGGGTCTGGGGAGGAATCCAAACCCAGGCTTTCCTGCTTCCAAGTTCATTAGGCATTCCGTGTTCCCTCTTTGATCTTTTGGTCCCCAGCCTTACACCACAATGGCTCTAACACCAGTGATTTGAAAGATTCTAATGTGGGACAAAAAGATAAAAGCAGACTACAGTACTTCATGCAGAGATAGTCCTTAAAATGAAATTGTTCACAAAATAAGCAAATGTAATACTTAACCAGTTTTTTGCATATGCTCAATAGAAATTCAGATTTTTTTTTACCTTGTTACAGCATCCGCTGATTTTTCCAAGTCCTCAAACTCCATGTGAAACACTCTAGAAAATGAATCCTGAAAACACAAAAATGCATCATGGATGGTTGGTGTATCTTCTACTATGATGAAAACCAAACTGGCAAAACATACGAGTCACTTCTGCCTCAGAATATATCACAGGCAGTTACTGAACTTTCCTTTTCTTTCAGACTAATTTGACTGGGCATTCACCTCCCTGGCATATTTCCAGCTTACCTGAAGGCTGGAATTCTTATGGATGACACAGGCCAAACAGGTAGACCAGAGATCCCTGAAATTTCTATCATTATTACCCAATCCCTTCCTCTTTAGAATTCCAATTTCGGCATTCACTAGTCTTTTTCCCCCTCCTTTGCTATAGCAATTGAAGTTTTTTTTGGTTGTCTCTCAGGGTGTCCAATATATGCTTGTTTTAGACAATCTCCCATAATCTTGCTTCCAAAGCCTCAGCTGTTAATTTTGACTTGCCATTTCTTTGGCACTTCAGAAATGGGAAATTGTTCCAACTAGAATTTTGTGGTTGATCACGGCACTAGGCAGCACTTTTCAAAATGAAGCAAAATGAAGTGAGACATAGCAACATATGATGGAGGGAGTATTCCAGTGGTATCTCCCCAAGAGACCTTAGACGAGAGCATGTTACCATGATAGGGATCGGTGAGTCAAGAAATCATTAAGGTGGACTGAAATGTATTGAGATATTCTAACAGTGTGAGCCCAAGCATAACAAGCATGGATGTGGAGAGGGTGACCCATTGGCCATAGGCCATTAGTAGATTCTGATGGATGCTTCAGAAGCATGCAACACTACAATTATCCCTCATTCAAGCACACAGAGAGTTTCAAAACTGTTGGAAAATAGAAAATGATTTCATAGAAAGAGTGGTATGGCCAAGTTTTCTGGTATAATCCCATCTGCTGAACATGGGTTTCATTCTACCAATGTCAATTCTTTCATCTCCAGCACTCTCCCATACCTCCAGGGAAGGGAAAACAGGGACAAGACCTATCCCTGATATCCTAATGACCTGATTTTATTGGTATTAGGGAATTCCTGGATGAGGAAACTCCCTCGACCAATGAAGGTCGACATCTCTGCAACTTTACATCTTAGAGAGCTGCCTCGGTCGCTGAGAGGTTCAGAGACTTTCTCAGGGTCACACAGGCAGCAGGTGTCAAGACATGGAAGCTTGAAGCCAGGGCTTCCTGACTGCAAGGCTAGCTTTCTATCCATTGTGCAACACTGCCTCTCACAAGGTAAATGGAAGTCTGTGATGATGATTCTGCGCATGGGGATACTTTTTTTCATTTTTTTTTCTTTTTTTCTTCATTTAATTCCATGGTAATACCTTCTGAATCATCAAAGAAAATGTGAAATTTATACTAAATGCATTTTAAGAATGACTTTTTATTATACTCTAATCAAAGAACAATCCCCATATAAATAGTCCTCAATTTACAAAAACTCCCAGCTGACAAATGGCAGGTGAAGGTGATTAGAAATGGCCACTCCCTTTCCCCCTCAGCTCTCCCCTTATCCTTCCACTGTGGAAAATACCCAGAGGTGTTAGAGAACCCATAGATTCAGAAATAGGAACAATGTGGAGGGACAGACCCTGAAAGAAGGTGCCCAGGCAGGGATGGGAGATTGAGAGCTGGAGGTCTTTGGGCCCGATTCCTTCATTTTACACATTAGGAAACAGGGAGGGGAAGTGACTTGCCCAGGGTCATGCAGCTAGTAAGTACCTGAGGCTGGTTTTGAAGTTAGGTCTGCCTGATTCCAGGAAGCTGGGTGGAACAGTGGCTAGCAAGCTGCCCCTGGAGTCAGGAAGACTCATCTTCCTGAGTTCAAATCTGAATTTAGACACTTACTAGCTATGTGACCTTAGGCAAGTCACTTAACCTCATTTGTCTCAGTTTCCTCATCTGTAGAATGAGCTGAAGAAGGAAATGGCAAACTGCTCTAGTATCTCTGCCAAGAAAACCCCAAATAGGGTGGTGAGAAGTCAGACAAAAGCAACAATTTCCTGATTCCAGGTTCCCTGTCCTCTCCACTATTTCATCTTTCTTCTATAATGTGGGGTACCTGCACCTGCGGTTTTATGTGATGGACCCCAAACATCTTGCCTCCTAAAAGCCTGAAGCTTTTCTTCAGCCTGTAACAGAACTCAGGAGACCAAGAGTTATTGTTACATTGGCATGAAAAAGCATTCTCCCTTAAAAAATGTAGCCCTCCTGGAGAAAGAGAAGATGCTACAATGGGCATCTTAGACACCAGTGCCAGCAATCCTTTACAGGGAATGGGAATTTTGATCATTAGGTGATAATTTTAGAACACGGAGCCACTCCCAAGGTACAGCTCTTACCTATTTTCAAATATAAATTACTGAACAATTTTTAGCAATATTCAAAGGAGAGAGTGAATACTATGATCCCCTTTTTTCCTTCTTTGCACATTTTCCTGGCATTAGACCAGCACTTAAGTAGTACAGTGGGAAAGGCACTAGACTGAGAGGCAGAAGGTGGGTCACTAACTGACTCTGAAATCTTAAAGTCTTCCCTTTCTCTCCCTGGGTCTCAGTTTCCTTTGCTATAAAATGAAGCGGTCCGACTCCAGTATTTGAGATGGCTTCCAAATATAAATATTCCAGGACTCTGGGAATCTAGAAGTTAGTTAGGGTCTGTGTCAGGAGCTTACGGGAGCAGGTGGGTAGTGACAGCCCAGGGCAAGAACAGAAAAAAGATGGTGGGAAGGTGCCCCAAACCACCTTTGGTCATCTGGAAATTTTGCTTAGTATTCAAGAGAGGGATAGGAAACTCTTCTCCTTTCTTTTCCTTCCTTCCTGACTATACCACACCATCCATCACTAGTAAAATAGTTTATGGACTGGTCTGGTAATTGAATCACCTTTATCATTGTTTCTATAGGAAAATGTTTATTTCAGTTCCAAACAACTGATTTACAAGATAACTAAGATCTCAAACCATCATGACCCACCCGTGATTTTTGAAGGTTTCCTCTCTGACCTCTCTCTCTCTCTCTCTCTCCCTCTCTTTCGCTCTTCTCCTCTCTCCTTTCTTCTCTCTCTCCATCTCTCTCTTTCTTTCTCTCTCCTTCCCCTCCCCCCCAAATTTACATTAAAGTCTCCACTTTTACTTACCAAGATAGTCAAGTCCTTGATTCTGCTCCAGTCCACCATGCCACTGCCATATGGATTCCACATTAGGGTCTATTGCAAGGGGTGACTTGGAGGTGGGAAAGGTAGGGAGGAAGAACAAAAAGAAAGCCAAGGCTGGTACTTACCGAGCAATCTTCATCCACTATAAAGATTGTGCATTTCTGCACCTGCATGAAGGCAATGATGGTAGCTGCGATCTTCTTTAGAATCACTTCCAAGGACTGCTGCTCTTCAAAGATCAAGCTGGCAAGGTCCAGCAGCACCTGGGCAGAGATCAGTCACAGCTTTGGGATCAGAGGATGATTTCAGTGCCCCTACAAGTAGTCATGAGCACCGCACCCTGTACCGAGGATGACCATTTGGTCACACCACAACCCTCAACAAGAGCTGTGTCTGCAACTGCTGTAGAGATATTTGAAATGCAGGGGGTGGGGAGTGGGAAAGAGACAGCATGGCATAGTGGATAAGGAGCTGCACTTGGAGCTGGGAAGATCTGAGTTCAAGTCCTGTCTCTGATATATACTTACTTTGTGACCCTAGACAAGTCACTTAACCGGTTTGCCTTCAGGGCAAATCTTTCAGATTATAAATTGCAGAGAAGATGCTGACCTGCATTTGTAGAACTCTCCTGGAAGCTCCCAGTACCAATGAAATCCCAACTTTGGTCTCTATTCTTATCCCTAAAAGACAATGGCAGCAGTGCATGTTTGCCAACTGGTAGAGATATTGTTGGCTATTTGGAAATGTGGGGAATCATCATCCAGATAAGATGATTTTATCGCTAGTCAGTGTGGTGAAGCAAGAAGTCAGTTAAGTAGCAGTTACTAAGCACTTACTATGGGTCAAGCACAGGATTTCAAGCCAGGAACCTACCTCAGAATTCCACTTCTAATATTTACAGGCTACATGGCCTTGGACAAGATCTTTCCCTTCTCTGGGTCTCAGCTTCCCCCACTGGGGGATGAGGGGCTTGTATTAGGTGGTGCTAAAGGGACTTCTAGATCTACAGTCTATAACTTTACTAGAGATTGCTCACCAGCCAATGACTTTCAAAGGGTCCTTCTGTGTTTTCTTTGACAATTCAAGAATCTAGTTAATATAAACCTAATTGTGATAGGTCAAGAAAGCTCAAGGTTTTTAGACATAAAAGGACAAGCAAGGCCAAAGAAGCTATTCATTCCTTTCAAGGGAACTCAATAAGGACATGCTCAAGATATCTGCTTAGGAATATTAGGAGACACAAGCTAGGGAACAACAAAATGTTTCTAGAATCCATATTCCTGCATTAAGTCAACAAATATTTAATGATCCCCTAACTCTGTGCAGGAAAGGACAGAGAAAGACTAGACAAAGATACTACTTTCACGGAGCACTTTCAGTCTATCAGGGGAGAGAAAACATACATACATACATACATACACACATGAATGCATGCATGCATGCATATGCATAACTGCAAATTAAGATAGAAAGCAAAAGTAGATCAGGGTTAAATCGAAGTCAGAGCACCCTAGGAATGTAGAGAAGGAGAACTTATTTTCAGGTGGAAGTCAAAGAAAGGTGTTTAACAAGTTTCTCATAAAACAAAGACATTCACCTGAAATACACAAAGGCAGAAGCAATTATCTTTTGCACATTCCCCTTTCAAATACTGTTTATGGAATGAGCAGGCAGATTTCAGAAAAATCTGGAAAAACTTACATGAACTGATGCTGAGTGAAGTGAACAGAACCAGGAGAACATTGTAAATATTAACAGCAACATTGTATGACGATCAGCTAGGATAAACTTAGCTCTACTCAGCAATACAATGATCTAAAACAATTCCAAGACTTGTGATGGAAAATGCTATCCACATCCAGAGAAAAAACTATGGAGTCTGAATGCAGATCAAAGCAGACTATTTTCACTTTTTTTTTATTTTTCTTTCTCATGGTTTTTCCCTTCTGTTTTGACTCTTCTTTCACAACATGACTAATATGGAAATATGTTTAACATGATTGTACATGTATAACCTAAATTAGATTGCTTGTTATCTTATGGAGGGGGGGAGAGAAGGGAAAGAGGGAGAAAAATTTGGAACTCAAAATCTTACAAAAATGAATGTTGAAAACTATCTTTACATGTAATTGGAAAAAATACTATTAAGTGCAAAAAATATTGTTTATGATTCTAGATCAGGGTATGTCACTTCAGCGACATGAACTCATTGTTGGGATTTTGTACTGGTAAACAGCAACATCCATCCCCATCTCCACATGCTGGGCAATGCCTGTCCATGTCATCCCATGCGGTTTGCCAATGCTCTGGAGTCCCACCTTTAGGTTTTCTTCCATTCTGTGGATGACATCATGGTGTGCATCTTATACTTCCTTACTCTCACCATCAGCAGTATACCTCCTTTTCCAAATACATATTTCATGGCTGATAACCTTTATAGCATTTTTTATGTGTAGATCATCATTAGAAATAATCTGTGAGCTACTTATACCTGCCAATAGTCTCTCCTTTGCCCTTTGGGTCACTTGCAACTTTAGAGACCATGGTTTTCTAAAGTCCATAATCAGACAACATCACTAGGAAGACATTGGTATTAAAAAATGGGATTTTGTTTCGGGAATCAGGTTGGGATTACCGAAAGCACTGAGATATTTCCTAAATGCAATCCAGCCTAATCCCTTTGCCTGTTTGATTCTGGATATAGCTTACCATCTACTGAAAGTACCAGTCCTGACTTCATGCACTCTTACACTAACCAATGCAGATTGGCCATCTAACTGCATGTCAAAGTCTGGACAATATGCAGCATCCATTTGGTTTTTCTTGTATGGATAGTTAGGTCAATCTCTTTTGAGTAATTCCAGATCTCAATGAGAAAGACATAAAATGTTCTGGAACTTCATGAAATTAGCAACATACCACATGCCAATAAAAGCATCTCCAAGACCTCTCCATTTGGAGGAAATTCTTTATACTTTGTATAGGACATCCTACATGACTGTGGCCAATCTCTTGCCAAGTATATATCTCTTATTTTCTTTTTCAATTGACTTTAATAATCAAAAAGTAGTCAAGAAAATTCGCTCTATGGTTGTATTTAAAATGGGATTTTTTATGATCTTACAATATGCATTAGAGACTTCTTGTCAGGGGAAAGCCTTCAAGGCTTTTTTTTTTTTTACTTAAATTTACTCTACAGAGCTTTTTTTGGTAATAAAACAGAACACATAGTAGGATATTTCTTCTATCTGGCCATAACTTCCTTTCTTTCATCTCTCTCCCTTTGTCTCATCCTTCTAAGACTTAGTCTCCACTGTGACCAGAAACTCTAGTCATTTCCTCCCTCTTTGCTTTCCTAGGCCATTACTTCTGCTCTTATCTGATTTTTCTTCCTTCAAAGTCTTGACCAATAGTTAACCAGTTCAATGTCATACTGTCCTCCACCTTTGAGTCTATTGGCCTATCAGAAGATTTTTTTTGTTATTGAGTCATTTCAGTTGTGTCTGCTTTTTTATGACCCCATTTGGGGTTTTCTTGGCAAAGATACTGGAGTGGTTTGTCATTTATTTCTCTAGCCCATATAGATGGGGTAAACAGGGTCACATAGCTAGTAAATATCTGAGGCCAGATTTGAACTCATGAAGATAAGTCTTCCTTATTCCAAACCCAGTGCTCTACCCACTGTGTCACCTAGCTGTCCATCAGAAGATTACAAGATTGTAGATTTAGAGCTAGAAGAAATTGGAAAAGCTATGTCCATCAATCAACACTCCTCTTTGGCTACCATTCCCCTATACATGTTGTTTTCCTTTATTAGAATGTAAGGTCTTTGAGGACAAGAATTCTCTTGATTGCTAGTATTTGTATCTACAGGGCTTAGCACAGTGCTTGGCACATGATAAGCTTTAAATCCATCCACCATCCATCTATCTACCTATCCATCCATTCATCCATCCATCCATCTACCCACCCATCCATCCATTCATCCATCCCTTTAACTCTGTGTATTATGTGATACTATTGGCTATTTCCCGTCTTCTTAGAGAGCTTCTCCTCCCTTGGTTTTTGGCACTGTTATTTTCTGGTTTTCCTTCTATCTGTCTGGTCATTCTTTCTTGGTCTCCTTTGGAGGATTATTATCATTATACTTAACTTTCACAGTCATTTTCTCAATATGCTGCCTATACTCTGGCTATCGGGTCTGTCCTTGGGTCTCTTAGTGTCTGTTGGTGAGCTTTTGTCCTGCCCAGAATCAGACGTCCATGTGACTTCCTGGCCATCTCACCACCATGCTGTTTATACTCCAACCATCACCTTCATCCCCCCCCCCCCAGTGGAAGTACTCTGCCCTTGGGTTGTCCAGTTCTACCAGGTGAGTTTTGACCTTATCTTGCTTGGAGCCAAGGCTCCATGTTATTTCTCATCCATACCACAGCACAGCATGTGCCTCTCCCCCTTTCCAGCTTCCCTTTATATGTTATCTTCATCCTTTGAGGGCAGGATCTATCTTGCTTGCTTACACTTGTATGGTCCAAGTTTAGCACAGCACCTGGCACATAGTTAAGTGCATAAGAAATACTTCATTTACCTACCCACAAAAGGGTGGGTATAGTCCCAGTGGTCTGTCCAGGATCTGCATCTCTTCTTTCTCTAGAATATGTCTTATCTCATCACCTTTCATGGGTTCAATTATCATCTCTATGCAGAAGAATCCAACACCCGTATAATCAACCTTAGTCTCTCTCTTGAGCTCCAGACCTACATCAGCAACTATCTTCTGGATATTTCAAACCAGATGACTTATAGATGTCCCACATTCACTCCATCTAAAATAGAACTCATTATCTTTTTCACAAAACCTACTCTTCTACACTTCTCTATTTTTGCCATCTCACTATGCTTCCAGTTACTCAACTTCAAAACCCAGAAGCCAAGACTTCATTCTCCTTCTTTCCTTACATCTAATCAGTAGCCATGTGGTCAATGGCACCTCCATGACATATTTTGCATCTATCTTCTCTCCAGATACTAAAAGCATTTCATCATCACTTCTTGCCTGGAGACAAGTGCCTTCTAATTGGCTTCCCTGCCTCTATTACACATCTGCTGCCAACTTGGTATTCTCAGTATACTTTTTTTAAATGGATTTTTATTGTTATCTTTTTTTACAGCACCTGCATGTCTCCTATGTGCTTCCTCCTTCCAAATGAGTCATCCTTTATAATAAAGAATAAAAAAGAAAAAGAAAAAAAAAGTCTGCAAAACTAAAAGATTGACCGAGCCTGACATTATTATATACAGTGCTCCACATCTGGAGGCCCCCACTTCTGCAAAGGAGCAGGGACAGTTGTCCCATCTGCCTTTTCCGGAGTCAAGCTCAGCCATTATCATTTGGCCACACTTGGTTCTGATTGTTTTCATGTGGTTTTCTTTTCTCTTTCCATAGCTGCAGTCACACTGTGTCTATTGCTTTCATGGTTCTGCTGACTACAGCTTGAAACTTCTAAAGTACAGGTCTGATCAAAAGTCTCTCCTGCTCCAGAATCTCCAAGGGCTCCTTCTCTCTTATACTCATGAGAAGAAATGAAAAAATACCTCAAATGAATCACCCTGTCTCATAAAAGATGGCTGTTCAGTCGTCATCTTCTGAAACACTAGAGGAGAGCGTCATCATTCACCGGCTTCTTTCTAGTTCTTTAATTTGGCAAAGTGTATCGGATGTACTGACTCACTTGATCCTCACAGCAGCTGTATGAGTTACGTGCCACAGAAATTCCAATCTCCATTTTACAGATAAAGAAAGTGAGAGCTAGGGAGATGAAATGACTGACCCAGGGTGACACAATAAGTAAGGGCAGGGGTAGGATTTGAATCCATGTCCTCCTTACTCCAGGGCTGGCTCCATCTGCCATGCCAGGCTGTATTTCCGTGAATACAAAAATCCATCATTTGTTCCCAACACTAAATGCATAGTATAGCAACCTATGTTTCTTTATAAAATTTATCCATTGATTCTCTTTCAATTCTTCTGGTTACATTAAGGATAAAACATCAACTGGGTGTTAATCTTTATTATAGCCTAGACTCTGATTGCATATAAATGTTCTCTTAATAGGAGGGAGAGCTCCTGGCTTAGGGTGTAGTTGGATTTTCAGGGGATCATGGATTGACTCATTCATTCGATAAACATTTGTTAGGCTCCTGCTATGTGTCAGGAACTATTCTAAGCACTGGTGATAGAAAGACAGTCCCTGCCTTCATGGAGCTTATAATATAATGGGGATCAAGTTGGGTAAGGGATAGGGGAGGGGCTGTACCCCAGAAAACCAAGAACAGTAAAATGCATGATGGACAGTCAAGAGAAGGAGGATGCATTTTGAGCTGTGGTACTGCCTTCAACAGAAATATCAAAGTTAAAAAGAAATATAAAAATTCAGAAATATAAAATATATGGAAATATAAAAGTTCAAAGGAGGGATGGGTTTGGGAATGTACAAAATATTGAACATTCTGAGTTTGAAATGTGGAAAGGGCATCTGGCAGGAAATGACCATTGGGGAGGATATGATGAAGGACTGGAGTTCAAGAGAGAGAGGATTATTACATTTGGGAGTCATGTGCATGGACGGGGTAATTGAAACCATAGGAATGGATCACAAAGAGGAAGGGTAATGGAGAGAGAGAGAGAGAGACAGAGACAGAGACAGAGACAGAGAGACAGAGACATAGGCAGAGGGAGAGATTGAGACAGAGATGGAGGTGAAGATGGAGAGATAAAGAAAGAGGGGGGGAATTACTGGGACCAGGACAGAGTCTGGGGGGTTCCATATTATTGGGAGGGGGTAATTAGTATTCAGCAAAGGAACATGAAGAGAAATCAAACTGAGAGTTCAAAACTAGGAAAGAGGTCTTTATTGAGGGAAAAGAGACTATTAGGGAGGAGCAGATAGGCAACAGTATCAAAAAACACCAGAGAGATCAAGGACTTTTAAAGGTCAATGAATTTAGCAAATAAGAGATCATTGGTAACAAAAGATTAGAAGGATTGTGGAAAGATAGGCACACTATTGCACTGTAGAAATTGTAGGTGGGTCTACTCATTCTAGAAAGCAAAGCAACCAAACTGTCCATATCCTATGACCCAGAGATCCCTCTGAAAGAAATATACCAGCAGAAAATCAATAATCCTTCTTGATATTGAATTCGATACTCTGGACCACTCTGGATAGTCTCTCTTTTTAGTTTTCATGATACAGCTCTCTCTTGGTTCTCCTCCTACCTATCTGACCATGCCTTCTCAGTCTCCTTTGCTAGATCATCATTTGTCATGCTTCTTAACTGTGGGTGTTCTCCAAGGTTCTCTCCTAGGCTTTCTTGTCTTTTCCCTCTTTGTAATCTCATTAGACGCTGTGTATTTATTCTCCCTATTTAGATGACTCACAGATCTATCTCTTTCTGCCTGTCTATATCATCTCTTTATCTACATCTGTTTACAGCATCTATCTACCTATAGCTGTCTATATCATCTAACTCTTCTGTCTATATCATCTATCTATATCTGTCTATATCATCTCTCTGTCTGTCTACTATCTATCTATCTATCTATCTATCTATCTATCTATCTATCTATCTATCTATCTATCTATCTATCTATCTATCTATGTCCCATCAGTTGCTCCCCTGAGCATCAGTCCTACATTACCAATTGCCTATTGGGACATTTCAAAGTGGATGTCCTAGAGACATCTTAAACCCAACATGTCCAAAACTGAACTCATTATCTTCCCCCCTCCCAATCTTTCTCTCTCCCAAACTTCCCTATTTCTGTTGAAGGCACAACCATCCTTCTAGTCTCCTGGGTTTGTAACCTTGGCATTATTCTCAACTCTTCACTTTCCTGCTCCCTCACCCCATATATTCAGTAATTTGGCAAATTTTGCTGTTTCTAATTCATTACACCTCTCGCCTTCAATCCCTTCTCTGTGTTCACATAACTGTCACCTTATTTCAAGACCTCGTCACCCCTCATTAGCCTCCCTGTCTCTTCTTTCACCACTTCAGTCCATCCTTTTCATGCAGCTGCTGAAGAAATTTTCCATAGGCTCAGAACTGACTATGTCGCTCTTCTAAACCAACTCCACCTACTTCCCATTTCCTCTAGGATAAAACATAAACTCTTCTGTTTAGTTTCAAAAGTCCTACCAACCTGGCTCCAGTGTAATGCTAGAAGGGTTGTGGAAAGATGGACGCACTTTCAGCCATGCTGGATAGTACTGGCTGTATTATAAAATTACAGCTAGAAGAGACCTCATTGGCCATGTGGTCCAAACTCCTTATTCTACAGTTGAGGAAACTGAGGCTCAGAGAGATTAAGTGACTGGCCCAGGGACACACAGCTAGCAAAGGTCAGAGGCAGGATTTGAACCCAGGTCTTCTTGGCCCTGAGTCTGGTGATTTATCCACTACACCATATCTCTAAGTTCCTGTTTAGTTCTGTGCCCTATAGGTATACTGTACATACCAGTATATACCAATATATTGGTATATAGTGTACCAGTGCACCTATTTGGCCAAATTGGCCACAATGTCACATTCCATAAACACATCTAAGTTCCTCCAATCTTTTAATTATACATGCTGGGCTTACCTGGTTCCGTTTGTTCTCCAAGAGTGAAGTCTCATACAATTGGGCATTGTGGAGAACAATCCCACAGAACGCCAGGTAAGCAGCAAAATCCTGGAGAGACAGAAGACAATGACAAAAGGATACTGAAATAGCCACTGAGTTCTTTCATCATTCTTGAGTGACATAAAGCCATTAGGGAGAGGTATTTGCTTTCAATCACTTCCTGTCAGAAACACATGCAAAATAAAATAGCAGTACTAGTAGAATCTAACAGTACCATTAAGTACTTAAAGATGCACAGGATATCCCCACCATTGTTTGAGCCTATGGACTTCTTCAACATAGAATCCACAGTAACACACAAAAGATTCATTTGAAGACCTAAGTGCTTATATGACTTTACTAATGTCATTGGATTACCATGGTGAAGATACCATCTTCATTATTATATTTTATCACTGCTGAAGTGAAAAGGGATATAGGATTTTGCATAAGGGAGCATGGACTCATTACCAGAGCTGTTGTAGGCAAATATATCTATATATATATAAATATAAATATATATATAGGCTTGAGAATGCCAGATCTATAGAGAAGTGGTCATGGCATAGTGGAGAGTGAAATGGTCTCAGTCAGAAAGACCTGGATTGGAGTCCTATCTCCAAAACAAATTTGTAGTAGGACCCTAGCCAAGTCATGTTACTTCTGAGGGCCCCCAGGCAATATTCTAAGCTGCAGAGAAGGTGCTACCCAGCAAAGGAAGAGGGAGCTTCCTCTTCTAGGAGTTTCCAATGTCAATGAAATTACAAATCCCACCTCCATCCCTGTCCACAGATAAACTACTGGATTCAGGGAAGATTAGCTTATGTTCTGGGCTTCTTGAATCTTTTGAGACTGACATCATGGATAGTAGTCAAAATGTGCTTTGCTAAAATGCCCTGTAGATCATTGTTAGACAAAGTTTAGGGCTAGCTAGGCTGTTCCTGCAACTCACAAGGGTTTCTGGGTGTGTGTGTTCTCAGATAGGCAGAAAGGGTGTTCTGAGCTGATTCTACATTTGGAGGAAATGAGCCATAAGAAAGAACTTGACTGCTGTTCTTTCCACCAGACATTCCAAGTGCTGAGCCTGAATTCCCACTTTGGCACCCCGATGTCTGTGGAAAAAGTTTATAAAACAGTCTTAAAGTTGCTTCACCATTGAGGCAATTCCAAACTTTCTTCCCAGAGTCCTAAATTTGGAGTGGATCTTACAGGGATTTTTATTCAGGGGCCTAATTTCTTTTCACCAGTGATGTAAGCTAAATAACATCATTAAAAGACCATAAGCAGTCCTTTGTGTAGTCTTAGCACTTATAGGGGCTGCCATTTTGATAGTCTTGAAAGTGTGACCTCATGTGACCTCAAATAAGGAACTTTTTGTAATCCTAATGGTGTACCAGTGCCCAAGCAATAACACAGATCCTGTCCATTCAGGACTTCTAATGTCCACAATCCAAAGAAAGGCAAATCATCCATCAACTTTGACCCCCCTCCCTCTAGCCCCATCAATTCCAAGGCTAGCATTGACTCTAGCACCTGATTGCCTCCAATGAGAAGAAAACTCATCCATAAATGACTTGAAAACAAATATACTGTTCATGTTCATACCTTTTCATCTTTTTCCGTGAATGTGCCGCCATTTTCAGATTTCTTGTTGATGGCCTGGGCCACACCAACAACCTGATGTAAAAAAAAGGAAAGATATAATGGCCACTTTTCTCAGTCATTTCATCTTATCTTTCAAACTTTAGCCAGAGGAATCAGTGATGGGAGCTTTATTGGCTCTTCTTTTTAAAATAACTTTTGAATTAATTTCTTAGGACTTTTTGCAACATTTAAACTCAAAGCTGTTCCTCTAAATTTTGATCCTAAGCCATGAAGTCTAGATGGAATACATCTCCTTTACCATGATTACAAAACTCTTGATTTCAATGACATCAAAAGTCTGTGACGTCACCTGTATTGGCACTCCCATGACCAACACATAAAGTACCCCTATAATCGATTACTAGACTACTAGCTGGTCATTTTGAGATGCTAAAACCAATTTCCCTCCACTCCACAAAGAATCCCCCGGGAGTTAGTCTCCAGGTACTGAGTCTTTCTGACCTCAGCTACATTTGTCCTTGGTTGTCTTGGCTGCAGTGAGTAATTTGGCAGGATCAGCCTAAGTTTGTGTTGGTTTATATTGCTGGCATGGTCTTCCAGAGCCTTAAGGCCTTTCTATAACATGACAGGCGCCCTAGGGTAGAGGTGAAGAAGGAGATGCCAAGCAATCCAATGCTAACTGAAAGGACTTCTCTTAACAATGAGTCAAAAGGACAAAGGGATGATCTCTCTTATACTAAAAAATGAAGCTACACAAGAGATAAAATAGACATTTCATGGTGGATTTTAAAGACACCACTCAAAAAAGGGTAAACTGTCCTGAACTGAAAATGAAGAAAAGCTACCAGCTGCTTCTCAGTTACACTGGGGAGAGGTTCAGTCTACACTGGAGGATAGACATTTCTTATTGCCTTTTTAAAAATTGGTTTTAGTTTTTAAAATGTTTATGTTCGGTTCAAAATTATCTCCCTCCTTCTCTCTCCCACTGAGAAGGCAAGAAATACGACAGATACCCACTGCACATGTGAAGTCATGCAAAACCGTCTTCATGTCTATAGAAAGAAGGATGCGGGGGGTCAGCAAACGAGGAACCTTCAATAGCACTATCTCTAAGCCATATTTTAATTACTAGGATCATCATCAGCAGAGCAGAGACCACTGGATCTGGGGTCAGGAAGTCGTCGTCGTCGTTGTTGAGGTGTGTCTGACCCCATTTGGGGTTTTCTTGGCAAGGGTACTGGAGTGGTTTGCCATTTCCTTCTCCAGTTCATTTTACAGATAAAGATACTGAGGCAAATAGGGATAAGTGGTTTGCTCAGGGTCACACAGCTAATAAGTGCCTGAAGCCAGATTTGAACTCAAAAGGATGAGTCTTCCTAATTCCAAGCCCAGTGCTCTATCCATTTCACCACCAAGACCTGAATTCAAATTATGCCCCAAGCACTTAGTCCTGTGTGAACCTAGGCAAGTCATTCTCTCTCAGAATCAGTTTCCTCATCTGTAAAATGGGGATACGTGCCAGAGTAACTGTGAGGATCACATGAAATATAAGGCACTTTGCAACCTCAAAAGTGCTTTAGAAGCACAGACATTTGTGTCTTGTACTGTATCTCCTACTCCTCCTCTTATTCCCAGAAAACTTTACAGGAAGCATTTACATCTATCATTTCCTCTGGTCCCTACAGCAATTACATGGTAACAGTATTGTCGTCCCCATTACTGAGAAAGCAGACCTTTCTTAGCACGTGTGGAAAGGGAAGGAAGGGAATAAATAAGCATTTACAGAGCACCTACTTAGAGCCAGGCTTTGTGCTGAGCACTTGACGTGTATTATTTCATTTGATCCTCACAACAACCCTGGGAGGGTAGTGCTATGATTGTCCCCATTTTACACAAGAGGAAACTGAGGCAAACAGCTTAGGTGAGCTGCTCAAGCTCCCATAGCGAACTGGTCCTCAGCAATAGGATTAGAATTCTGGCCATTTTCCTTGGCAGGTAATATTTTCTAGTGTATGGTGTAACATCTAATATTTGTGTTGGGGAAAAGATACTTTTGTTAAAAAAACATGTCAGGAATGATTTCTTTCCCTCACTTTTATTTCAACCTGATTGGGCCTGCATTTGATTTTAAGTTTTTTGTTTTGTTTTATTTTGCTTCGAGGGAGCACAGGACAGCTAACCTTTTTACCTAAACTTTGGCAAGTCAGAAATATCAAAATCTCTCACTCTTCCCACAGAGTTTCACAGCTAGTGCTCACTTCTGATTACGGGGCTCTCAACTTCAAATCAAGGCAGGTCAAGAAGAATTTATTAAGTACCCACTATTGCTAAAATCAGGGATACATAGAAAGGCAGTCTGATACCTGATGGGCAAGCTCCCTGATCTGCTTCTCATATTTTTTTAAAATAATTTATTTATTTCTAGTTTTCAACAATTCACTTCCATAAGATTTTGAGTTTTAAATTTTCTCCCCCTTTCTCTCCTCCCCCCTTCCCAAGACAGCATGTAATCTGATACAGGCTCTACTTTTACATTCATATTAAGTATATGTTCATATTAGTCATGATGTAAAGAAGAATTAGAACCAATGGGAGGAACTATGAGAAAGAAGAAATAAAACAAAACAACAAAAGGAGAGCAAATAGTCCACTTCTATCTGCATTCTGACTCCATGGTTCTTTTTCTGGATGTGGATTGCATTTTCCATCATGCATCTTTTGGAGTTGTCTTAAATCCTTGCATTACTAAGAAGAGCTAAGTCCATCAAAGTCAATCATCCCATAATGTGGCTGTTACTGTGTATAATGTTCTTCTGGTTCTGCTCACTTCACTCAGGATCAGTCCATATAAGTCTTTTCAGGTTTTTCTGAAGTCTGCCTGTTCATCATTTCTTACAGCACAATAGTATTCTATTATATTCATATACCACCACTTGTTCAGCCATTCCTCAATTGATGGGCATCCTCTCAAATTTCCAATTCTTTACCACCACAAAAAGAGCTGCTATAAATATTTGTGTACATGTGGTTCCTTTTCCCATTTTTATGATCTCTTTGGGATAGAGACCTAAAAGTGGTATTGCTGGGTCAAAGGGTATGTATGCAAATTTTATAGCCTTTTGGGCATAATTCCAAATTGCTCTCCAGAATGGCTGGATCAGTTCACCACACCACCAACAATGCATTAGTGTTCCAATTTTCCCACATCTTCTCCAACATTTATCATTTTCCTGTTTTGTCATGTTAGTCAATCTGATAGGCATGAGATGGTACCTCAGAGTCATTTTGATTTGCATTTCTCTAATCAATAGTGATTTAGAGCATTTTTTTGTCCTCTACTCTTTTGTTGTTTTGAATCTTTTTTTTTGAAATGCAAGATGGGTACTTTCATTTTTTAATTTTTTTATTAATTTATTTTGATCTATCAATAATCACTTCCATATGCTTTTGAGTTTAAAATTTTTCTCCCCCTTCCTCCCCACCACCCTCCCCAAGACGGTGCACAATTTGATATAGACTATACATTTACATTCATATTAAACATATTTTCACATTAGTTACGTTGTAAGTAGAAATTAAAACCAATAGGAGAAACCATCAGAAAGAGGAAACAAAACTCAACAGAAGAGAAAAAAAAAATAACTGTTCAGCTTCCATAATTCTTTCTTTGGGTGTGGATAGCATTTTCCATCACAAGGCCTCTGGAGATGTCTTAGATCCTTGTATTGCCAGGAAGGGTTAAGTTTATCAATATTAGTCATCACACAATGTGGCTGTTATTGTGTACAACGTTCTCTTGGTTCTGCTCACTTCACTCAGCATCAGACCATACAAATCTTTCCAGGTTTTTATGAAGTCAGCCTGTTCATCATTTCTTATAGCACAATAGTATTCCATCACATTCATATACCACAACTTGCTCAGCCATTCCCCAATCGATGAGCATCCTCTCAATTTCCAATTCTTTGCCACCACAAAAAGAGCTGTTATGAATATTTTTGTACATATAGGTCCTTCTCCCATTTGTGTGATCTCTTTGGGATATAGCCCTAGAAGTGCTATTGCTGGGCCAAAGGGTATGCACGTTTTTATAGCCCTTTGGGCATAGTTCCAAATTGCTCTCCAAAATGGTTGGATCATTTCACAACTCCACCAACAATGCATTAGTGTTCCAATTTTCCCACATCTTCTCCAACATTTATCATTTTCCTGTTTTGTCATGTTGGCCATTCTGAGAGGTGTGATATGGTACCTCAGAGATGTTTTGATTTGCATTTCTCTCATCAATAGTGATTTAGAGCATTTTTTCATATGACTATAGATGGCTTTAATTTCATCTGAGAACTGTCTGTTCATATCCTTTGGCCATTTATCAATTGGGGAATGGCTTGTATTCTTATAAATTTGACTTAATTCTCTATATATTTTAGAAATGAGGCCCTTATCAGAGAGACTGGTTGTAAAAATTCTTTCCCAATTTTCTATCTTCCTTCTAATCTTAGTTGCATTGACTTTGTTTGTGCAAAAACTTTTCAATTTAATGTAATCAAAATTATCTGTTTTGCTTTTCGTAATGTTCTCTATCTCCTGTTTGGTCACGAATTCTTCTGTTCTCCATAGATCTGACAGGTAAACTATTCCTTGCTCTCTCAGTTTGCTTATAGTATCAGCCTTTATATCTAAATCATGTACCCATTTTGACTTTATTTTGGTATATGGTGTGAGATTTTGGTCTATGCCTAGTTTCTGTAGTTTTCCCAGCAGTTTTTTCCAAAGAGTGGGTTCTTATACCAGAAGCTGGGGTCTTTGGGTTTATCAAATAATATATTACTATAGTCATTGACCACTGTGTCTTGCATACTTAACCCATTCCACTGATCCACCACTCTATTTCTTAGCCAGTACCAAGCAGTTTTGATGATTGCTGCTTTATAATACAATTTAAGATCTGGAATGGCTAGGCTGCCTTCCCCTGCATTTCTTTTCATTAGTTCTCTTGATATTCTGGACCTTTTGTTCTTCCAAATGAATATTGTTATTATTTTTTCTAACTCTATAAAATAATTTTTTGG